AAGGTAGAGGTAGGATTGTATGAGGTAGATTGTATGTTTTGAGATCGGATTTTGTGAGGGGTATTCTTGTGGCCTGAATGATGCAGTAGTAACGTGATTTATATAAAATTTATCGCACTGAGCTGGAATTTTGCCGCTCAGCGGATTTTGGGGATGAGGAAAACGAGTTCCCTCCTTCTCAGGATGAGTTTTACGTATAAGTACTGGAAAATTTGGAATGCTACTAAGTTGCTAATGAAAATAATGAAGTGTTGTGGGGAACGAGGAATGTGTGATTTAAATTTAGATATTTTATGGTTATGAAAAAAGTCGTAAAAAGATATTTGTTGGGAATGAGTTTTGTGTTTTGCAAGAACAAGTTTTGTGTTTTTTCTTTTTTTCAGGTAAATATCTCGGGACTTAGCGGCCACTGGCGTGCAATGCGTACGTTTGGCGAACCACTTGTGAATCTACGATCCATTACGTACAAAGATATGGTAAATGCAAGCGAAAAAGCTTTGTGGTATCTGTTTAAGCCAATCGGCATGAATATGCAACATGTTGATCTCCGGGGTTGTCGACGTTTCAAAGGCCGTTGCTTCCGATTATTTGGCGATGCACTGGAAAATGTATGTGTCATTCATAATGTGTTGATTTAAGGTACTTCACTGAGTCAAACTCGTCATCAGTTTGCTTGTATGCAGCCCTCGAAAGAGGGTACCATCGACAGCCTTGCCAGAAGGTGATTGCTGTTGGCACTTGCTACCACTGAATTACTTAATGGACCGAAACATTTCTTACCATTATAATAATCTCACTAATTTTACTATTTTTGTAATCCTCATTCCCCACCTTCCTTTTTGATTCTTCTTATTTCGACCTTTGTTAGGCTGAAATCATGAAGCATGAAACCGTCTGTCACAGTTGTAAAGTCATGTAGAAAGAAATATGTAGGGAAAAATCTACCGTGTTTCATCCCTTAGCTGTAAATACAGATAGTAGTCGGGTGCGATTTTTGGCGGGAATCATCAGTACAGCTCCCTAGCCACTATGTAAGAAAGGTGATAAGGTGTAAGAGACAAAGACGGTCCATATCTCTGCAAAACATAACGCGATAATTGAGATAAAGGATACAGCATGGATATTTTATGTTCGCAGATGAGTGGATAAAATTGCTAGTACTGTACTAAAGGCAAGGGGATGAGGCAGTATTGAAATAGTTATTCAAAATAGTTGTTCAAAATCCTTGTATTATTCCAGATTTTGCTGGACGGTTGTTGTCGCCTGGACAAACAGTCCTTGGAAGAATTATGCATGCAATCACCGAATATTACAGAACTTCGGCTGAGCGCATGCTGGATGGTTTCGGACGATATAGTAAGGTCAGCCGATTTCTGTTCTTTGCTCTTTTTTAATCTGATGTTTTTTAAACTAATTTTGTATTTTCCCACTTCAAAGCTTTTTCTGGAAATCTAATTTTTGGAAAATAAGTTCAACTCGGTTCATGCTTTTTATAATTTTTCAATATTTTTCAAATTAATTTTATATTTTTTCTATTCCAAAAATTACTGTTTTTTTTGGATATCTAATTTTCAGGATTCCTAGATATTTTCTTAAAATTTTGGAGAAAACTAAGTATAAGTTATTTTAATATACCTTATTTGATATCAGTTTTCCGTGGCCATACCTGACACTTTTGCTATAGAAAAACAAGCTTTGGTCGCTTCACATTTTTCATTCACCCTCCACCTCTCCCTCATCATTCTATTGAGGTAGCAATCCGCTGAGGAATATCTGTACAGCTTACTTCTTCACGGATCAAAATTCATTGTCCAAACGAATTTTAGAAAATTTATTTTTTTTAGCTTAATATCGCGAAGTTTGTCTCATTTGAATTCATTTGCACTGTGCGGCGATCGCTTCATGGATTTATCCTCCGCTGGTTTGATGGCTATCTCACGACTCAAGTTTCTTCGCGAATTATGGTAGGTCATTTCGTATTTGTTCACTCTTTTGTGTTATAATTTGTACAAAATAACAAGATCAGCTGTTTAATTCATAGCTAAATCCGCCAGATGTCTCCTTCTCTCTCTCTTTTTCTTTCACATATCCGTCTTGCAAATTAGTTACATGTCCTTTTAATACATGGCGGGTAAGAGGCTGTACTGACGATTCCCACTCCTACCCGCATGCATAGTCCGATCTGTATTTACAGCTAAGGGATGAAACACAGACAGACTGCATCGTGAAATATCACCTCACTACATCTAAAGGATGAAAGACAGCTTCCACTGTAAATTCACCTTATATATGGCAACTGAGTACAGTCCTTCTGGTCTATCATTTGTAGCTTTTCTAGTTGCTTTGACCATTGCTGCATCGCCTGTTGCTCAGCCTGCTAGTGATCCTGGCATTCGTTTTGTCTTCTGAAGGGATTATCAGCTCAGTGGTTCTTCCGGCAAAAGCATTTGGCAAAGCTTTAGCTGTTTTTAGATGTTTTTTTGTGTATGTTGAGCATCACCATCTTAGCCTCGAGCAACACCATTTTAGACTACAATGAGGTACCTTGCCAACGTGAAAACATTCATAAACGCCAGGAATACTAAGACCGCGCTGAAAATTGGTGTGTGTATGTATGTGTGTGTGTGTGATGTGTGTGCGTGTGATGTGTGTGTGATATGTGTGTATGTGTGTGTGTTTGTGTATGTGTGTGTATGTATGTGTGTATGTGTGTGTATGTGTATTTCGTGGTAGTTATTTTAACAGGTTTTTCCATATATCGAACGCAGTTTTGCCTGCCCCTTCGATCATGAACTGCATATCTCCAGTTGTTATTGCCCATCGCCTGTTGACGTACGTACCCAAACTCTTCCGGGACTTCCCTTTGTATTCGTTTATTTTTTTGTATAAACGAATTTGATTGATTTTTTGCTTTATTTTGAGTGCATTTTATCGTCCCATATTTTACAGGCTTGATTACAATTCAGCTGTAACCGATGAGTTGTTGGAAGCCCTGATCGAATCGATCCCTGGTTTACGCTTATTGAGTATACCATATGCCGGTACGGATTCCACCATAACAAAAGAAGTTGTTGCGAAAATTGCAAATCTGAAAGACCTTCAAACGGTATGAATTTTGCGGTTTTTGATTTTTCATAAAAATAAAAAGTGAAAATTAAAGTGGAAAATTTCCGCTAGTTGAAATACAAAATTCAAAATCCGAAAAAATCCGAACTTTGAGGTTCAAAGAATTCAAACCTTGAAGAATTCTAACTTCAAAATTCAAACTTTCAAGGAAGGAGGCTGTTTTATAATCGAACCACTGTTGTTATTGTTTTTTTTTTCTTGTTATTAG